GTTGACGATCCCCGCTGTTCAGGAGGCCCTCGCGACGTGCGCAGTGGACTGCGAGAAGCTGAAGGAGGCGATGAGCCTGGCCAAGAGGTTCGCGAAGTAAGCGAGCACGTGAGGATGAGGATGTAAAAATGATGGAGATTATGATGGTGATGAGGAGGAGTCGGAAGCCAACCCAACGCAACGCAACACAGCCCAACGCAATGCAATACATCCAACGCAACACAGCCAGCGTGAGTTAGATTTCGATGCAATCCACTTCGGATCTAGTTTAGGTCTGAATTAGACTATCCAGTAGTTGAGTTTCGATCTGATTTGGATCTAAAGTGTACCCTGGCCCAGTCAAGTTTAGATCTATTTCGGATCTTAAGTGGATTGCGATACGAGTGAGACAACTAAGTGCTCTGGCGCAACGCGCGCGCCGAGCTGTCCTGCGTTGCTGGAGCGATCTGGCGCGGCGCGGTCGACTGAAATCACATAGTCCTCCTCCTCCTCCCCATTCCCATGCCTCGAGAGTGCCCAGAGTGTCTTGAGAGTGTCCAGAGTGTCTTGAGAGTGCACCACGCTGCTACGTGTTTGGGACTGTCGGGGACATCGCTCGTCGCCGCGGCTGGATTCGGCTTCTTCTTCGCTGTGACGTCTCGTCGTCGGCGTTATCGTACCCCGCCCCGCCCCCCATCCACACCTGACATCAGTAGACGTTTCAAATCGAGCATCTGGTCTTTAGCTGACGGGCACCATGGAGTTGCTTGGGAGACGCGGCGGCTGCCGCCAGCGAGCGGAGAGGGCCGAGCAGGCCAGGGCCGCAGCGCTGCTGCAGAGTGCTGTGGCAAGTTTCCTGGTCCAGGAATGGGCGTGGGGCCGCATGACGCCTCAGCAGTGCCAGAAGATTGCGACGCTCCTGAGGGCGGACCTGGAGGCGAGCGCGAGTGGCACGTTGGACATGGGCACGGTGGATTTCTTGAAAGGGCTTGGCACTGCTGGACGGAACCCGCAACATATGCATTCGCAGCTCATGAAAAAGTTTTCGCCCGAGTCGGCACTGCGGCCTTCGCCGTTCAATGCGATTCTCAAATCTGGCAAGACTGGAATACATTTTAAGGATCTGGATGGGCTGTGGCCGCATGTGTTGTTCTCTAGGATATACCACGAGTACCCGAAAGCTTGGGAAAAACTAGTGTACCCATCCATGTCGGCGCTGCGTGAATTCTGGGACGACGTTAAGAATTCAAAACAATATTTGAATCACCCGATTCGTTTCCGCCAACATCATCAACGGCTTGCCGTTCCAATCTCTATCCACGGGGACGGAACACCAGTGACTGGATTAGGCAAGTCATGGGGTAAATTGTGTGACATATGGTCTTGGACATCTTTGGTCACAACGGGCCAAACTCAGCTTACGTATTTCGTGATTTTTATGGTGTTCACTGGTATCCAGGCGTCTTCGATTGCTGGAAAAACGTTGACTCAGTTTTGGAAGAAATTGACATGGTCTTTGGAGGCCCTGTGGCACGGAAAGTGGCCCGAGGTTGACGAAAATGGATTGGCGATGCCGCCAGGATCAAAGAGTGGCGATTTGGCGGGTGGCCACTATGCTTGTTTATGGGTTTTGATCGGCGATCTAGATTATATGTGGAAAGGCGTTGGCTTGCCAAACTGCAACAATTTATCCAAGCCGTGCGGCTGGTGCCCAGCAAATAACAGCACAATGCCATGGTATGACTTCAGACCAAATGCTGCGTGGGTCCAGAATGTGTTCACGGAGGCGCAGTGGAGGGCGCAGGGCATGGATGCTTGCAACCCTGTGTTCCAACTACCAGGCGTGTCGATTTTGACATGTGCGCCTGACTGGATGCACGTGAAACACTTGGGGTTGGACAAAAGGCTCCTCGGATCAGCGCTGTACGCGCTGACGCACTATATCATGCCTGGCTCTCCAGAACAAAACTTGGAAAAGTTGCAGCGCGAAATATTTGACATATATAAATCTGATGATGTAAAAACTAGATTCAGCAACCTGCAGCTGTCCATGTTCAGCTTAAAAGCCAAGGGCAACTTGCGGGGCAAAGCAGCAGAAATCAAATGCCTTGGCCCTGTTCTTCTGAAGATATGGGATAAGCACGCAGGCGGCCAGGTCAGTATATATCAGAAGATCAGGTTAATATTGCATTTGAACGTTCTGTTGGATGAGAAAATCGACGCTGTAGATAACACTGCGTTTTGTTTGCCGCGAGATGTGCGGGAGGATATCGCTAACACGTGCCATTCTCTTTTGATGTTGTGGACAGACGTGCAAGAGTTCTTCTCTCAAGAAGCCGACGCTGGGGAAATGTTCCACTTCACTGTGAAGGCGCATTTTCTTTTGCACTGCTGTCTTATAGAATCGTCGCCGCGGCGGTTGTGGTGTTACAGAGGGGAGGACCTCATGCAGAAAATGCGGCGGCTGATTTTCAGCTGTTCTAAAAGATCGACGGCGTGGCAGGTTGGAAATAAGTCAATTGGTAAATATTGCGTTGCCCTGGAGCGCGAACTTGCGGCAATCCAATGAAACAAAAAGAAATAACAATAATAAAAACATACGTGGTGACATCTATGTGGTGCAAGCAACCTATGTGGTGCAATCTATGTGGTGCTGTGTATGTGATGCAGTCTATGTGGTGCAATGTATGTGGTGCAATCTATGTGGTGCAACCTATGGGGTGCATGCAACATATATGGTGCAATCTATGTGGTGCAAATACGTTACAAACGTTGCTTGGTGAACGACCTAACCGAACATCATCGCTCTCTCAAGACGTCGCTCTCTCAATACGTCGTTCTCAAAACGGCTCAAAGGACAACGGCAACCTAACGACATGAGAACGAACAAAGCAGACTAACATCGACCTACACACATCAAGCAGCCTAACGGACCTAACGGACCTAACCGAACGGACCTAACCGAACGGACCTAACCGAACGGACCTAACCGAACCTACCGAACCTACCTAACAAACAACCGAACCCACCTAACAAACAACCTAACAAACAACCGAACGGACCTAACGAACAACTTAACAAACAACCGAACGGACCCAACAAACAGTCGAATCGCTGACCCCTCCGTTATACAAAAATTGCCGAATTCAGCAAAAAGTTGTCGATCGACAAAAGTTGCCGAATTCGGCAATTTTTGTCGATCGACAATTTTTTGTCGAATGGAGTCTTAAGGGAAGAGTATCCAAGAGGCCTCCCACGAAGGCCCCAAGAGGCAAACATCCATGTCTTGCCATAGGTTTTTGATTGATGTTCGAGTTTTCAGCCTTTTGGCGTCCTGACGCTCCAAGACTGCCCAAAAAGCCTCCAAGACCAATCCAAGATAGCCCAAGAGGCCTCCAACAGGGCCCAAGACAGCCCGAGAGGGCACCAATACGGCCCCAGGGGGGGCCCAAGAGGGGTAAGACGAACCGAAAATCCGAGCCTTCCACCCCGAGAGGCTCTCAGGAAGCCCTAGAGGCCCCCAAATGGGACCCAAGAGGCCCTCAAGAAGCTCCCCAGAAGGCCGACGAGGTTCCAAGAAGCATTGTTTTCCCATCGGCTTTTGATGGATTTTAGAGTTCCCAGCCTTTTGGCACCCCGACGCTCCAAGACGGCCCAAGTGGCCCCCACGGCCGCTCCTAGATAACCGAAGAGGCCTCCAAGAGGGCCCCAAGACGGTTCCCGAGGCGCCCAAGACGGCCCGAGAGGGCCCCAAGAGGGCCCCAAGGGAGCCCCAAGAAGGGGAACGCGAACCCAACAGCAGAGCTTTCCGCCCTAAGAGGCCCACAGGAGGCCCCAAGAGTCCCCAAGAGGTCCGACGAGGCCCCCCAAAGCCCCCCACCAGGCCCCAAAAGGCTCACAGGAGACGTGCACGGGGTCCCAAGATAGCCGAACAGTGCTCTCGATGCATCAAAATTGCTTCAAGGAGGCCCCGGGAGGCTTCTGGATTGCCCCAATGTGGCCTCAAGCCGGGCCTCCACGCAGCCAAGACGGCCAATTGACTGCCTCAGACTGCAGAACATCATTTTCCGACTGCCCGGAGAACCCTGACGATGCCCCCAAGGGACCCCAAGAAGCCACAAGATGCCCCCCCGAGAAGCACCCAAGAGGTGCCTCCAACAGCCAATTGAGGAAGCACGGATAACCCCCCAGAAGCCCTTCAGATGCCCCCACGACGACCCAAGAGGTTCCCAGGAGGCCCTCAGGAGGCACGACTATGTCACGCGCCTGTGCTTGATAGCGCTGTCCAAGATCTTCTAGCGCGCCCCCGGCCTGGGCTAGAACCTGAGCGCGCGCGAAGCGCGCGCGATGGTTCTAGTATACACATATATATATATATATATACATACCTATACGACCACCCTCTGGGTGATAAGGAGGTTCGGGGGGAGGAACCAACGTCTCACTCGATCGGTCTCACTATCGATCTCACTATCGATCTCACTATCGGTCTCGCTCGATCGATCTCATTCGATCGATCTCACAATCAATATCACTCGATATATTTCATTCGATCGATCTCACAATCGATCTGACTATCGATCTCACAATCGATCTCACAATCGATCTCACTATCGATCTCACAATCGATCTCACATTCGGTCTCACTATCGATCTCACTATCGACATCACAATCGATCTCACAATCAACGTCGCAGAGGATTGCAAGGGGATAGCGTCCGCAGCGATGTGGGGAACGTGTCCGCGGATGAATGGCAGGGTCGGGGGCGCGACCGCTGAGCGAGGCTTGATGTGAGCCAACTGTGACTCCAATGCACTGCGCAGGTCTAGCATCTAACAGTGCAGTCCAGCTTGCTGCCTGCCACGTCCCGTCGCCCCCCGCAAAGTCTGTGGCCTGCGCTGGAACGGCGTCTTGTCCACGGGCTTCTGCCTCCTGGGCAGCCTCGTCCGCCATCTCCTCGGACACGCGCCGATCGGCGCGGGGCCCCAGGAGCTGCCCCAGACGGTCCCAGTCGGTCGCGTCAGTCTTGCAGTGCTCTCGTGGTGCCACGTGTTCCTTCCTCGAGGCGGCGACGGCTGATCCGGCCGCGCCGGGACCCGCTGCGCTGCTGGCCTGCCGCGAGGGCCTGCGCGCCTTCTGGGGCGGCTGCGAGCTGCGCCCAGCGGGCGGGCCGGGCGGGCCGCGCCCCCCCCACCGCCTCCTTCGAGGTGACCTCTCCCTCCTCCCCGTTACCCTTCTCCACGCATCTTCGTGCTTCCCGCCCCCGTTGGTCCCGATCCTTCCTGCACGTGCCCTGTCCACATCGGCCCGCGGGCGTGTCGGCGCGTGCATGGTTTCCCGATGCAGCTTTCTCTCCGTCCTCCGGCATGCCTCGCTCCTCCTGCACGCGGTCCGACCACAGGCGTGACAGCGCGTCCGTTGTATTTCACGACTGTTCTATGTCGGCCTCTGTCATTCATCGTTCCCCTTGCACGTGCTCCGCCACCTGGCGTGACAGCCCGCGCATTATGTTTGAAAGCAGCGGCCTGAACGCGCTCGTCTGACGCCGAAATTCGACAGGGGTTTCGGTTGTCTGTATAATGACTTGCCTTCAGCCTACCCCGCCACCGCGCCTGGGTCGCGGGCCAGAGGCCTCTTCGCAGTTGCGCGCTTGCTCTCTTCGTTTGGGGGGTTCGGGCCCGGGGCGGGTCGAAGCAGAATTGCAAATTCCCCCCATCCCAGAGTGCGGTTCCGCCTTTTCCCATCCTTCGCTGTCCGAGACTCTGCAGCCACTGCCTGTGAAGGCATTTTGAGTCTTTGCTGGGTGGCACGGCAGCTCTGGGCTGTGACAGTCCTCTGCGTCCCTTTCCTCTCGCATTTGTGTTTTCGCGTGTCCAGACCGTGACCATGAAGTTATGACGGCGTCATGCCCGTCATGTGCACAATTAGCTATTCGATTGCGGGATTCGTACCCACTCTCTCCCCTTATATGTTCTTTTTGTTGGGTGGGACCGCAGCCGCGGGCTGTGACGGCACCCTCCCCTCCTTCGTCTTGCAGTGTATTTGGGTCGGGTGACGCCGCACCTAGAGCACAAAACGGCGCCCAACGGTCCGATGGGATCCCGAAATATTGTGACCGAGATTGCTATGTTTTAACCACAAGAAAAGATGCACCCTACACGGCCAAATATGGGGTCAAGACAATTCCAAATAGCCTCCGAGGCGGCCAAGACGCCTCCAAGACATCCGTTAGGAAATCCTGAAGAAGCTAAATTCATCAAGTTCCCGTTGGTTTTCGAAGATTTGTGCATTTGTTGTTTTCCGGCATGCTGACGGTCCAGATGGCCCAAGAGGCTCCCAAGATCGCTCCCAGAGCACCCAAGAGGCCTCCACGATAGCCCCGTGACGGCCCCCAAAGCACCAAAGACGGCCCCAGGAGGGCCCCAAGACGGCCCAAGAGGATTCAACACGCCTGAGATTGCCTCCAAGACAGCCACGGAGCGCTCCAAGCGGGCTCGAAGACGGCGAAGACGGGCCTCAAAAACGGCTTCCGACAGCGTCCGACGGGCCAGGAACGCTTTAAGACAGCCAAAGAGGCCGGGGCAATGCGGAAAGATGGCTGCCGCGGGGCACGCGTGCACGGGTGCGCTGAAGTCCTTGCGGGGCACGATCCGCGTGAAGGGTCGCGCGAACACGCCCATTGAGGCCGCAGGCGGACATCCTCCGGGCACGCCCCGTGCCAAGCACGTTCCGAAATGGGCGCAGGGGCGCCATGCAAAGATGCCCGTTCTGGAGCATGATTCGCATGACAGGTGTGCCGACATGGGCGGGGGGGGGCGTTGTTCGAACCTTCCGGGCCTTTAATTCGGTGGTGATTCTTGTGGGCATGATCCACGTGACGGGGTGTACCGCCATGGCCGGGGGGGGGGGGGGGCGCAGTGCGAATTTTGCTTCGGGGGCCGTGGGTGGAGATCCCTGTGGGCCACGATCACGATCCGTGTGCGAGGTGTGCCGAAGTAGGCGGGATGGCGGGATGCGAACCTTGTCTTTGGGGCCGTCCGTGGATGTCCTTGCGGGCCACGATCCGTATGAGAGGTGCGCCGAAGTGAGCGGGCCGATGTTATGAAGCTCCCCTCTGGTGCCGCAGATGCATCTATTTGCGGAAGACGGTCCTCGGGAGGGGCGTGGCATTGTGCGAACCTCGTCTCTGGGGATGGAATCACGTGGGTCTCCCTGTGGGACGCGATGCCTGTGAAGGGTGTGCCGGCATGGGCTTGGGAGGAGGAGGAGGGAGGAGGAGGAGGAGGAGGAGGAGGAGGAGGAGGGAGGAGGGAGGAGAGGAGGAGGAGGGAGGGGAGGAGGAGGAGGAGCAGGAGGAGGAGAGGAGAAGGAGGAGGAGGAGGAGGAGGCGGAGGAGGAGAAGAATTCGCCGGCCCAAGCCTGTCTGATGGGCCGCAGGTGGAGCCCCCTGAGGTGCACGATCCCTGCACCAATCAATGTCCGCCGATGCCCGACACTTTCATCTACAGCTGAAGCTCGCTGGAACCTAAGCGCGCGCGAAGCGCGCGCGCGTGGTTCGAGTGTGTCTATATATATATATATATATATATATATATATACGTATATATATATATACACATATATATATAGAATCTGGGGAGGGGCCAGTGGGCTCCAGGGAACCCTGAAATCAGTACCTGGCCTGTGGCCCCTTCCTTGGGCGGCCCTTGGCCCTCCCAGGTACGTGCGGCAGGCTCTCAAATTGCTCCCAGGCGGCCCGGGGTCGCTGAACTAATATTTCGTTCCAAGACGCCCAAGACGGCTTCAAGACGACCCAGGAGGCCCCAAAGACACCCCAAGAGGATTCCCAAGAGGGCCTCAAGCGGCAAACATGGCCCCATTCCTTTCGGAAAACGTGAATTGTTAGAATATTCGTTTCTGGAGCTTTCAGAGCATCCAAGACGGCCCGCAAAGGCCTCCAAGATCGCCTCGAGACGACCCGAGGCTCCCTACAGGTCTCCAAGACGGCTCAAGAGAGCCCCAAGAAGGCCCCAAAGGCCCCCAAGACAGCCAATTAATGCCCCAGAAGTGCCCCAAGAGGGGGCCCAGAGGGGGCACCCCAACAGATAATTTCAAGCCTTCGGCCCCAAAACGCCCCCGGGAGGCCCAGGAAGCTCCCCAAAAAACTCCCAGGAGGCCCCGAACAGGCTCCCAGGAGGCTCCAGCAGGCCCCCAAGAGGCCCCCGCGAGCCCCCTGCCCAGACGCCCTGAGACACGCATGGCGATCTCGAAGCTTCCAGAGAGGAGAGTCACCACCCACCAAACCACCCCAACCCAACCCGAAGGTCTCGATTTGACCTCCATTTCCAGTTGGGGGGGGTCGGGGAACCTCGAGAAAACACATATGGAACCCGTACCCCCCCCAACCCGAAATTCAGGTCTTCGGGTTGGGTTGGGGTGGTCTGGTAGGTAGTCAGAGAGGCGATGAACGGCCGTCCTGACGCGATCGTGGACCGTCTTCGAGCTCAAGGTGCCCCCATCATGGCCCAACGGGTCCCAGAAGCCCCCGAGGAGGGCCTCCCTGGGGTTCCCAAGAGGCCCTGCAGAAGCAAGCTGTGGGCTTGTCGCGGGCTGAGGCCTGCCAGAAGCTAAGCGCGCGCGAGGCGCGCGCGGTTCTATCCTCAAGTTCCCTTCTCACGATTGCCATATTGCGCACGCGTGCTGGTGCTTCTGGGCAGATCCCCTGGGGCGCCCAGGTGCACGCAGGCCGTTCAGGGTTTTCATCCCGAGTATGGCACGCGACTTGTCGGTGAAATCTTCCGACGCCGGCCGTCGCGCGATTTTTTAATATGTTCGCCTTGCGTGCACACCCTTGGGCAATCGACCAGATAAGTGCGCGCCAGGCCGATGCGCCGCCGTCGAAAATTATGAATATCAGCTCTTGTTGTCGGTACTCCGCACTCTACCGACCAGCAGCGAGTAGTCTCGCTACGCAGTTCGCACGCACTCTTGGAATACCGACCAGACGAGTCGGAGCGAGGGGTTTCCGCTCACGCGAATTTCATTTCGAGTCGTGCGCGTGTGGGCTGCCTCGGGGCAGGCAGGCGTCGTCGCGCTTGTCTTCTCTCTTCCGACCGGGGCGGGGGGGCCCAGCGGGGCCCGGCTGGAGGGGCGCGCGCGGCCTCGAGAGAGAGAGAGGGAGAGAACACATATATATATATGTGTGTATATATATATATGTATGTATATATATATGTATATTTATACATATATACATATATATGTATATAACGAAAGAGAAAGAGAACCAGAAAGACAAACTGTTCTCCTGGTTGCGCCAAGCACCGCCACCGCGCCAGCGCAGCAGCGCCGCAGGGACGAGGTTGGCTCAGAGACCCGCCATCGTTCAGCGCCGCGTCTGCGATGGCGCGGGTCCGAAACACCCTCTTTGTAGAGATTCTTGGATACTTCAGGGGCCTCCTTCAGACCCAAGGATTGCAAAACAAAAGCCCAGGATTTTTTTGCAATCCTTCGTTTTTTTTGCAATCCTTCGTTTTTTTGCAATCCTTCGGTTTTTTGTTGCAATCCTTCGGTCCCTGGGAGCCCCGCCGGCTGCTGCTGCTCCGCTGGTGTTCCGGCCCCGAGAGTTTTTCGAGCGCGGAGGGCCCGCCCGCGCTCCCGAGGAGGAGAAAACACCCCTCCTCCTCCTCCTCCTCCTCCTCCTCCTCCTCCTCCTCCTCCTCCTCCTCCTCCTCCTCCTCGTCCTCCTCCTCCTCCTCCTCCTCCTCCTCCTCCTCCTCCTCCTCCTCCTCCTCCTCCTCCTCCTCCTCCCCCCTCGTTTTTCCTCAAATTCTCCGCCCCGCCTCCTCCGCGCCCTCCCCCACTTTTCTCTCTGGAGGGCGCGCTGGGAGCTCTGCTCGAGCTCGGTTTGGGCCCTCCTGGGGGCCATCCCAGAGACGCCTGGGCGCGTCCTGGGGTTGTGTTGGACCCCTCTCGGGGCGGCCTTCGGCCGTCCTGGGGGGCTCTTCGGGCCATCTTGGAGCCCTCGCGGAGTTCGGGGGCCGTCTTGGGGCGCCTCGGGGCGGGGCTCTGAAGATTCTTGTGAGGCCCCGAAAGCAGGCCTCCTCGAGGGTGCGGAGATGCGGAGAGCGTGGGGGGCCATCGCTGCCCCAAGAGAGCCGCGGTGACCTCCGATGGGTGCTTGCGCTTCTGCCGCACATGTGGTGCCCAAGCATGCGAGATCTACTGCGGCATGCCCGCGCCAGCCCTCGTGGTCCGAGCGGGCTCCTCCCCCGCGCCGCCTCCGTGCCCCGATCCGCTCCCGGTGCGCCCCGCCGCCAGCCGACCGGCGCCCGGCTGTCTTGGACCACCTGGCGCCCGCGGACTCCA